CCTCTCTCTCTCTCTCTCTCTCTCTCTCTCTCTCTCTCTCTCTCTCTCCCCTACGGCGCGCCAAGAAGCAACGACGGTATCTTCTTTTATTTCGTTTTTTTTCTTGTGTTTATAATTTTTGTTTTTTTTTCTTTGTGTGAGTAACACCCCATACTTGGTGGGCTCCAGCCAAGAAGGAGCGACCGGGCCTTCCCTTGGCCGACCTCCCTAAGGCTGCGGCGCGTATACGGGAAGGCCCGCGGCCGATAGCTGAGCGAGGTACTGGTGGTTTAAACCACCAGTACACGGCCCCAGCCTTGCAGTCTGAAACTTGTTGCCACAAGAAAAAGAGGCCGAAATGTCAAACGCCGGGCCCACCGTTGGTCGCGGTTTTGTTTTGCGCCTCCAGAATTTGAGGTGTCAGGCCCGCGACCCAGGTGCCCATGTACTGGTGCTTTAATGGCCAGAACTTCTGGGGCCGGGCCGCTGTTGATAAATTTCATCAGCTGCTGTTGTCGCGATTCGGGCCTCCAAAAGTCATGGTGAGGGGCCTGAGGCTGATGTGTGGGTGGGGTACTGGTGGTTTTAACCACCAGTACTTGGCCCATATGTCGGTTGGGGGGCGTTGTCGTTAACTCCCCACAAGTTTCGGAGGCTTGGGGTACCGGACCTGAAAGGCTGACGCCGCCAGCCAAAACATTTTTTTTTTGTTTCGCTGGCGGGCCGGTGCGAAACGGCTCGCAGGGCATATTCAGGCTCGGCATCAATAGCTGGGCCAAGTACTGGTGGTTTAAGTATAAGAGAATGGAAGGGAAAAAACACTTCACTGTTGGATCACATGATTTGTGCTACTAATAATGTCTAATATTGTCGGATCATGTTGTGAATTTCTTTGCTTTTGTTTCCTGTGAATCCTCATCTTTGCTCGGCCTTGCAAATAACCTCGGTTCAGGAAACACTTCTATAACCTCTATCATTGTGACAATTCTCACTTGGCATTGTTTGTACAGCTGTTAATGGGCATCACCACACCACTCTCCAAATGTGCAAAATGAGAATTTTTTTTTCCGGTAGAACATGGCCAGATGCACCTGCCACATTTTTGTCTTTTTTCACATTTCAGCACCACTAGCAACGGCAGGGGTGTTGTGTTTAAAAAAAAAAAAAAAAAAAAAAAAAGGAGTGTGGTGTGGTGTGGCAAGAGGCCCAATCTCTATCATTGTGTGAGTTCTCATTTCTTCTCTCTCTCTCTCTCTCTCTCTCTCTCTCTCTCTCTCTCTCTCTCTCTCTCTCTCTCTGTGTGTGTGTGTGTGTGTGTGTGTGTGTGCGTGTGTGCACAGACTCTCGGTTCAGGAAACTGATGAAGCAGGAATCGAGACTTGGACCAGCCGTACCTCCTGGCAAAGCATTTTTGGTGAGTTGTTTTCTTCCCACTTGGGACACAACGGTGACGTCAGGAAGTCAAAAATTAAGCACTCTTTTTTTTTTTGTTTCCAAAAACCAAACTTTCACAATGGCATCATCATCATCATCAGCAGCAGCAGCAGCATAATCATCATCATATGAGGGACGCTGAGCCCGGTTCTCAGCTTGTTCGGTTCGGTTTCTCCGGGTAGACTGTGCGGACCAAGGCTAATATTGGTAATATCAGCCTTGGGCACTGGGCCTGGTTTGTTTGAAAAAAAAAAAAAAACGCTGCGCTAGCGCGTCACTATTACGATGCATGGGCAGCTGGGGATCGCACGGGGGCAGCTGCGGATAAGCTGCGCTTAGCCAGAACTTGCTGCTAGGTATGGCGGAGGCGGAGAGGTGATAGAGCGTGTGGGCGCTGAGGTGGAGGCCGCTTCGAGGGAGCACAACCATGCACCTGCCATAGCCTAATCTTGGTTGACGAAAGTTGGTAATCCTAGATTGGCCGCAGAATGAAGGAGAGAGATGTGGGGTCGGTCAACGGGCAGGATCTGCGCATCGTACATGTCAGTATTATTACCTGATCAGGGGCTTTGCCCGCTGATACGGAGAACGACTGCATTGCTGGAGCGGATGCAGTTTTATCTGGATGAAGAGCTGGAGATGAGGGACGATGACGGACAGATGACGGACTTCATTCCGTGATCGGTATCGTCCACCTTCGCTGACAACGGACTTCAAGCTGTGAGCGGGATTGTCCACTGTTGCCTTTGCTCCTCCTTCGGACGGGATGTTGCTCAAGATTTTCTGATTTGTGGTGCTCTGACAAATCATTGACTGTGTTTCCCTAAATGGCAAGCGTTGTGTTCTGTGTGGTGAGTATAGATGATTGTGTTCTCCTAGATTCTAACCGTTAGGCTAAGTCTTGTTAGTATAGAGTAGTACCGGTCACGGTTGTTTGGGCATGTAATTGGTACTTTGTGGACTGGTGATTTGACAAGTAGGGTTGTGATAATTTTGATTAGGGTTGGTGTCCATTGTGTTAGTGCTTTAAGATGATTGCCAAAGTGTTACCTCGTTGTTAATCCGTGGGTAAGGGCGTCGTTAGACACTCCTCGGGGCATCCTCGGGCTCCGAGGATGAATCCTCGGAAAAGTTTAGCATCCTCGGAGCATCGGTTTTAGGACTCATCCTCGGAGCAATGTCAGAAAAAAAAAAGGAAAAAAAAAAAGAAAAAAAGTTGTGCTTCAGGCTTTCAGCCAATAGGGTGCCGCCACGATTCGAATTCTCGGTTGTAACGTCTCTCTACGTGCGTGCCCTCTCCTCTCCGTGAAACCCCAAAGGACCTCGCGAGGTCCTTTGGAGCCGAGGACGATTTGGCTGGGAAATCCTCGGAGCCCAAGGATTTGTCCTCGGAGTGTTTTCACATTTTCATTTTCGATTTCATCTCCGAGGACAGGTGGAACGAAGACGAAATCCTTGGAATCACATCCCCGAGGAGTGTCTAACGACGCCCTAAGTCCATGACACCATTGGGGATTTTGTTTGTGTTCTTGGTTGGTAGTGGGTAAGTAGGATGAAACCATTGAATATCTTGTTTACGTGTTTTTGGTTGGTAGTTCGTTATCTAGCTTGGATTCCATTAGATTAGGGTTGTTTGATAAGGGGTAGATTAGGAATTTGACTTTTGTTCAATTAGGGAATGTGATCTTCGTTTTAGGATTGGGATTGGGATCATCGGTTTCATAACCTTGTGGGCCTGTGGTGGGGATAGGTTTGGCCGGGAGTGCCTTGCTTAGCCCGTTTGACTGCATCATTTGGGGTAGATTAGGAATTGACTTTGTTAAATTAGGGAATGTGAATTTTGTTTTACGGTTGGGATTGGGATCATCCGTTTTGTAACCTTGTGGGGCTCTGGTGGGGATAGGTTTGGTCGGGGGTCTTGCTTTGCCCGTTTGACCGCAGCAAATGATGTGAGGGACACCGGGCCCGTTTCCCGGCTATATGATCACGAAGTTTTTCTTTAAAAAAAAAAAAGCTCCAATCTATTCGTGGGGAGCAGCACCTGCTCCAGTGTCCTTAATGATAATGCTGAGATAATTGAGAGATTACAGTACTGGGGCCATTGCCTGGCTTCACCACTGCTGCATAAAATTAAGACAAACAAGATGGCCACCCAGATTGTAACCACTGCACTGTCATATTAATGTCTTCGGCCACAAACTCCAAAATTCAAATTTGATGATTTTTTATGAAGGGATTTTTTTTTATTATTATTATTTTTTTATTTTTTATTTTTTAATGGACGGAGTTCAACAGACATAAGGAACGATTTTTTTTTTGTTTTTTTTTTTAACTCCACGTCGAGAGAGCAGCGTATTGCTCTATTGGGGGCTCTCCAATGATGGGTAAAAAAAAGCAATCTCTGTGTTATAAGATGTATCAATGCGATGCTGGACCCGGTTTCCAGCAGCTGCAGCTCCCCACCAATAGATGGAGCAGCCCGACAGAGAAACCCTCAATCCTGACGGTTCTCTTACCACCGCCGGGATAGAGGGTCTTACACAAGGGCTATTCGTGCAAATAAATAAATAAATAAATAAATAACTAAATAAATAAATAAATTTGTCCCTAGTTATCAGAGGCTCCTCCTTTCCCTTTGCAGCGACCAAGCAGCCCCTGCAGCAAACCGGAACCAGAGTTACACTTTACAATATGCAGCAAGAGCCGAGGTAGGTCGTTCCACCCTGTAGGCTAGCAGATGGGAGTGTTCTAAGGCAGGTCGCACTGTCTCGTAGCCTAGCAGTTGGGGGGGTGAGGCCTTGTAGAGGCTTGATAACGAGGATAAGGGGTTGAGGCAGGTCAAGGTTTCCGCGGTTAAGTGTCATTTGGTAGTCTGGTTTCAGTTTTGCCAGCTGTTGTAAAACAAGTCCAGTCCTCTTACTTCATAAGATTTTAAAAAAAAAAAAAAAAAAAAAAAAAAAAAAAAAAAAACAGAGGTTTCGCATAGCCCTTCTGGGACTTAGTAGCTGGTCTACGAGTAGGTCAGCAGTTACTCTTGATTTTTCCTAAATCGTTCCGATGCTTGATCCTCGAAATGTTCTTAGCCAAAGGTGAGTAAAGACCTTGGTGTCCATCTGCTAGCTCAGTAGGTTTTCATGCCTGAGCTTCACCGCGTAGGTACTGGGCAGTGGGTTCTATTCCCGCAGCCATCACCTTCAGTGATCTGAGAAGGATTGGTGACCGTGGCCAGTCAACACTGGTAACTCACTGGGGCGAGTTGTGCCGCCCTGTAACCCTTTGCAATGCGGGAGCATCGGGCCAAGTGGAAGTGGCTGCTCAGGTCCTGCTGCGGCCGGTCGGGACACACCCAATAAAAAGAGCTCTCAGGTTGAGTTCTCAGTTTAATCATCATAGCTGACATTCATAATTACAATGCTTATCAGGATTGAGACCCTCAATTTCATGATATTTCCAGAGACTTGAAAACACTCTCAACATACCCAACAGTGTCACAACATAAGCTCAATAAGGAAGCTCAATAAGTCATGATCATGGCATATAATCTACAATAATAACTTCCATAATAATCTCGAATTACCCGGGGCGGGTCACCTGGGGATATTCCTCAAGACTGCCGCCCTTTTGAAAAAAAAAAGAAAAGAAAAGAGTAATGACCTTGGTGCTTTGAGGGTTTTGTATGATTCTATATGGGACGCTGGGCCCGGTTCCAGGCACGTGCTGATCCTCACGAATAGATTGGACTCATTGGAGCCTTGGTCCAAAAAAAAAAAAAAAAAAAAAAAAAAAAAAACTATTCTTCCTGTTCAAGGCTTCTTCTGACCCGCGGAGGCACTTTTTTTTTTTTTTTTTTTTTTTTTTTTAACTAAGCTATATATTCTTCTCTCAATTTCACCTTTCACTGTCTCCCGACCACTACTCCTAAGCCTATACACGGGGGACCCCTGCAAGCATAGCTACCTCTCACAATTAAGGGGATGCGTGTTGGCCCCTGCCCTAATCGGCGGTGGTCAGCGAGTACGGTGGGGCCATCGGTTGGGGGGGGGCGCTAACACAAAGACCAAGCATGTTGCCAGTAGCTGCGCCTCGTGGGGGAAGTACTTTGGATTTCAGACCACTGGTACCCTCAAAAAAAAAAGGGGTAACTTTAGTAGAGTCACAAAAAAGAGTTATAATTGCACTATGGGACAAGATACAGTTTGCAATTGCGCTTTGGGCACCCTACCTGGCCAGAAAGCTGGGTTGTATACATTGCCCAAACTGCACTGGAAGCCAAATCTGACCTCTTAGTGAATCCCCACCCCCATAAATGTCTTCCACCTAGAATTCTGCAAAAAACCCTGGTCCTATCGGTGAAATGGTCGATGCCGATTTTTTTCAAAAAGAAAGGCCAGACTTTGACAAGGAGATCCCCTCTGGGCAGCTTTGGATGACCGGGAAAGTAGGGGGGTTGAGGAGCAAGCAGGTGTCGATCCCCACCAATAGATGGAGACTATCCACTAGTGCTATTGGTGTATGCTCTTATCAACATCTCTAGCACTAGAGGGATTGTTTTATTAAAAAAAAAAGAAAAAGAAAAGGGGGGGTTGACGACCATAGTTGAAGGGTTGGGAGAGGAGGCGTTGAGGTGGGTGGGTGGGGATCGGGGCAAGCTGAGAGGCAGAGGCAATGGGGAGGGGGTGAGGAGGGGGTAAGGAGGGGGTAAGGGAAGACTGACTGAGGGTCATTGAGATTGCATGGGGAGGGTTGTGGTAGTATACTAGTATCAAGTCCACCTGCCGGAAAGGTAGAGAGAAATGCTCCGGTGCCAGCTGCTACTGGCACTGTATTTCCGCTCGGAACCGTACTTTCCGGGACAGATTGTTGTGCTCATCAAGTTCACCACATATTGTGGTACTTGGGTCAATGATGGCAATTGCTTGGAAGTTGGAAGGCATTAGTAATGTCGGCGGGCAGTAGCAATGTGATCAGACTCATCAGACT